GTCTCTATCACTTTTTGTTCAAATGTGATAAGCATTCTGCCGAGCCGCCTCGATTTCCGAGAAGGATAATAGTCTTTTTTCTTTTTAGTGTTCATAACGAATAGTTTCATATCAACATATGATAATTATTAGAATAAAAAATAGTCAGTTTTTTAGTTTTGCTATCCAATCAAGTTGAGAGCATTATTTTTTGTAATGACTTCAAAAACAATAAAACAATGTAAATTAAGATTTAGCTATCTTGGACATATGTTAATTTTTGATACTTTTTTCCTATTAGCTACAAGATTTCCAGCAGAGTCTCCTGATAATAGTATACCTGGTGATCAAGTGGGAGATGATAAAGCCATTGTTGCCATACACATATCAAATTCAAGTGATACATCAATTGTTTCAGATGAAAAATATATTGAAAAAAATCATAAAAATCTTCTCCCTAGAGAAGTATCATCCGTTGCACCTACTGCTAATGAGCCACGTGAAAAATGGAGTGAACAAATGGATTTTCTCCTATCGATTATTGGTTTTGCCGTTGACCTGGCAAATATTTGGCGTTTTCCTTATCTTTGTTACAAAAATGGCGGTGGTAAGTGGTCAAGAGACGGGTCTTAGATTAAATCTTTATCTTATTGTTGTGTTTTGTTTAGGTGCCTTTCTTATACCTTATGTTTTATCCGTTATTCTTGGTGGCATGCCTCTGTTCTATTTAGAACTTTTATTAGGTCAATATTATCGACAAGGAGCAATTACTTGTTGGAGAAAAATTTGCCCATTATTAGCAGGTAAATAGAAAAACAATACTGATTAGATATTTAATTGAACCGTACGTTAATTGATTAGGAATTGGTTGGGCCGTGACTGTCATTGCATTTTATACTGATTTTTATTACAATGTTGTCATATCATGGGGGCTCTATTATTTATTTGCCTCATTTTCGAAAATGTTACCATGGAGTAAATGCAGTAAGTTACCATAGTTCTTACGACTGATTTATCTCATTTAAAGGGGGGGGCTCCTATTGAGCTCTATCGATTATCCGAACCACTTTTTTTAATTTTTGCCTTTTTCGTCTGAAAAATCTGTTTTAAATCATTTTTGGTGTCCAGAAACTCACCATTTTTCCGTTCATTAGTGAGAAATTTAATAATTAGGATTAAAAAACATGCAGCAAGGGGTTTTTTTGTGTGGAGAATGTTGCCATGATGTCGCCTTGTTTGTCTGATGCGGTCTTGACATTAGGAAAATTTACTTTGTCCACTGGAGTGCCACTAACTAGTGCTAACCAGAACTAATTAGTAATTAAAAAACTGTCAGAGATATCGTTTTTAAGTGTTTTTTGTATGGAATTATATCTACAAACCAATTCTCTATAAAGCTACATTACAACCAATTGAATGTAACATTTATATCGAAAACTAGAAACGTTTTAAAAGATACTTCTCAAACAAAAAATTTCAACTAATTTTGAACTTAATTAATTAATAACTTGGTCAATACTTAACCAACGAGTTTTTTATTGCATAGGCATACCATCGAAGGTGTTCTCTACAAACTGAGCAAGTCTTTGAGGGTATGTTTGAGGAGAGAAAAAGCGTTAAAGAGCTCTCTTTTGTGAATCTCCTGTATAGAATCCTGAAAGATTTAAGAGTCAAATTGTATATCCGAAACTCTATAGAGTTCTGTCGGCTTTTCGTTTCGCCCACACTTTCTTAGAGGTGAACTCAACCCACGAACGTAGTGCTTCATTCTTTAAAAACGGTGACTGCGTGTATACTGTAACACATAGACTAAACTTTCTTATTAACTACTTTAGCGCATTATACAATTAAGAGGAATTCCACATTTTAGCTCTGCATGGACTGTTCTAACTAGATTTTATTCTTAGATCAAAAGTGGAACACTCCCGACTGTTCTACGGTAAATAGTCGACGAGACTTTCTTCAACAATGTATTAATTCGATGAATAATACATTGAATCATTCATTTGATTTTATTCCAAATCAAACGTATTCACTAACAGCATTAAATGATCAACATTCGTTTGAAGGCAATAGATTTTATGAAAATTGTTCAAGACAGTTAACTAATAAACAAATTGTTTCACCAGCTCAAGAATATTTTCAGTATGTATCTGTAGCTTTTCTTCATTCATCACCAAATATGTCACTATTTCTTACAGTTTACAAGTATACCGCCTAGATAAACACAGAGAGCTAAGTTTGACTAATTTGGGTGGTATTAACTGGCAAAATGTTGGATGTTTAGCTATTATATATTTAATATGTTTTTTCTCAATGTGGAAAGGCATCAAAACATCAGGAAAAGTATAGAGTATCATTTTCTTTAATATTCTATTTTAACAAATCTTATTTTTTTTAATCTATTTAAGGTTGTCTGGTTTACAGCCTTATTTCCCTATGTTGTATTGATGATATTGATGGTTCGTGGTCTCTTTTTAAATGGTTCTAAAAAAGGTATTGAATACTATATTAAACCCGATTTAAGTAAATTAAAAGATGCATCAGTGTGGGTTGATGCAGCATCACAAACATTCTTTTCATTGGGACCCGGTTTTGGTGTACTAATGGCATTTGCAAGTTATAATGATTTTCATCACAATGTTTATAGGTCATTACAATTTATTACTAAACTGACATAATTTCTATATTTATTTACTCTATTTGATATTTTTATAGAGATGCTATGATTACGGTAGTTGTCAATAGTTTAACTAGTTTTGCAAGTGGTTTTGTCATCTTTATGTTTTTGGTAATATTTCTCTATTTCGATAAGAAAATCTTGTATTCAATTAATTTTATTTCTCTAGGGTTATATGAGTGAAATATCTGGTAGAGCAATCAAAGATGTAGCAGAACAAGGTATCATTTTTATCATTGTTTCAATGATATAAACTCTAAAATATTTAATTTTAGGCTCTACGTTAGTATTTATTGTCTATCCTGAAGCTATTGCCACCATGCCGTTTGCTCCAGTTTGGGCAGTATTCTTCTTCTTGATGTTATTGACACTCGGTCTCGATAGTTCGGTAAATAAAAAAGAATGATAAGATAATATTTTGTGTGATAAATGAAATGTTTATCTCAAATTAGTTCGGTGGTTCAGAAGCAATTATAACAGCATTAAGTGATGAATATCCAATTTTACGTAAACATCGAGAATGGTTTGTGGGTGGATTATTTCTATTTTATTTTCTTATTGGAATACCAAGTTGTACAGATGCTGGAGTCTATTTCGTAGAACTTTTACAGAATTATGCTGGTAAGAAATATTTAGTATATGTTATAATAATCATTAAAATAAAATTTTGATATTGATTATTTAGCATTTTTCTCCATAATAATTGCAGTATTTTTTGAAGCAATTGCTGTCTCTTGGATTTATGGTAAGAAATATTCTTATATTCTAATATTAGAAGTAAAAATTATGTCTCTATTATCAATAGGAATCAAAAGAATTAGTCAAGATGTACAAGAGATGCTCGGCTCTAAACCAGGAATATTTTGGATATTTTCATGGTGCATTGCATCTCCAATATTTTTAGGAGTTTGTATTTAGAATATTATCAAATTTTAGATAAAAAAAAACTTTATTAAATAGTCATTCACTATTTTCTTCTCTTTTTTTTTTCTAGGGCGTTATTATCTCAGGATTAATTCAAAATGTATCACCAACATATGGAAAATTAACTGATCCATTCTATTATCAGGTAATGATACTAGATAATAAACATACGAGAGACTATTTATATTATTTTATTTTTAGTATCCAGATTGGTCTCATTATTTAGGTTGGATATTTGCCTTATCATCAGTTATATTTATTCCGGCTGTAGTGGTTTATCAACTTCTCATTACAACTGGATCATTGCGAAGAGTATGTGATTATTTTTTTTTCTCTATATTTTTTAATATAATCCTAAAATTTAAAATTCATTTTTTTTGTCTCTATTTTAGCGTATTCGTATAGGTATAACACCGTGGAAAGAACGTCAACAATGTTTAAATTCTGATATAGTGATTAGTACAAATTACATTCCGATCGACATAGTTTAATCATTCTTTTACTCTATTACTGATCACATTTTGTATATTAGAAAAATTTAAAATTATGTTATTCGTGTGTGTGTGTGTGTGTATACATGTCACAGCATATTGCTGATTTATTTAATGTATATTTAATTGTTCTTCTAAATAACTAATCCTCTTCACATTGAATCAAACCATATTAGATATATGATACTTGCATAAATTTGCATTTTTCTTCATTGTTTTTTTTGTCTTTTTTTTTTTTTTTGCTTGTTCATTTGACTATTTTTAAAATTAAATGATGATGGAATCTTATCTTGACATTGTGTTTATCAACCACTAAAAAAAAAACATAAAAATAAACAGATTCATATTGATTATTTTAAAATAAAATTTTTTGATGAAAATTTAAAGTCAATAATTAATTCTAGATAATCGGATTAAATATTTGAGATAGTAAAATTGAAGGTAATATAACATAGGCATAATTATCATATGATTGAAAATGAAATTTGAGTTCTAATTATAATACAAAGTCTGTTGGATGTTATTTAGAATATAATCTATAAATACTTCCAAGGTTAAATAAATCAGTTACTCCTTTAATTTGTGTATAAAAAAAAAAAATACGATTATATCATCTAACTACGCATGCGTGTACGAAAAAGACGTAGAGGGAGTCTTAAACTGAACTCGTTAATACTCTGTTTCTCTCACTCTTTCTCTTTTACTTTTAAATCTATTATTCAAACAAATCCCACTATAATAGAAAGATTCTTTTGATATCATCATCATCATTCAACTAATTTATGATGAAAAAAAAAAAAAAAGACAAGAAGAAGAAAAGAGAAAATGTTTTTTTTTCTTTTTAAGGTATAGAGCCGGAAGTGTATTCGACATTTGAACAAGGATCAACTTACTTTTAAACAATTGAATTGAATACTTATCATGATCTAGTCTCTATCTCCATATATATGGGGGTAGATAGACCTTTGAACAATGTTTCTCATTTTTAAATTTTCTTTCTTTTCTTTTTTCTTTTTTCTTTTTTTTTATTGTGTTCTTCTCTAAATGAGTGTACTTTTTTGTACAACGACATTTTCACATTGTTAACAAGACTAGTGTAAACGATAAACAAATTTTTCTATCTACGAATAAACGATTAGAGATAAAAGCCGATTAAAATCAATCATTTCCGTTAATGAACACGTTAATTTAATATCATTCATTTTTTTATTAGTTAATCTATCAATATGAATTTAAAACTGGTAAGATAAAAAAAGTTTTCTTTTTTTACTTATTAAATATTATTCAACTAAATTTTTGAAGAAAAGACATTAGATAGAGTAAATTTAGAAATTTTTTTAAGAATTTTTCTGTTATTAAAGAAAAAATAATTGTTCTTATATCATTTTAGGAAATTTATCCAGTATGGATTAGTACAATTCTTTATATTAGTATAAATTATTTTTATCCTGTTCATTCTCGTACGTATTTTGAAACAAAAATTAAATAAACTAATTATAATTTTTATTTTTATCATTGTTTCAGAAGTGTGTCTACCGAATGACTGTCGTGGTGGAGATTGTGAAATAATACGCTATCAAAATGGTACATTGAGAAAACATTGTCACTGTTTACAGGTATACTTGTATTAATAATATAAAAATTTAATATAATTGAAAATCAAAAATCTAATATATTTTTTCAAGGGTGTCTGTGGTGAATTTTGTCAACGATTGTGTAATTCAAGTTCACCATGTCATGGTAGATATTTTTCAAATGTTATTCTATCCTATTTTAATTATAAAACTTTTTATATTTAGGATCTCCATGTTGGGCGGGAGGAACATGTGTTGATGTTGCAAATTTGGATTATGTTTGCCTATGTCCACCAAATTATACTGGAAAAGATTGTCGTACATTATTAGCTTGTAATGATTATGCATGTCATAATGGTGGAACATGTATTCAGACAGGTAACAAAAAATAAAATGTTAATTAGAAAATAATAATAATAATATTCAATTTAATTTTTATATAGCCTATGGTACACGATGTAATTGTAAAGAACATGTGACCGGTGATTATTGTCAACATATAACTAATGATAGTTTTAAAGTATATCAATATGGTGTTGAACCATCAAATATTATTGGTTATAAACAGTTAGATCCGGCAACATTGGTGGCCATTGCTGGTAATCAAGCATCAATGAACAATCAACAACGATCACAATTCGTTTTTTGTTTAACAAATCCATGTATGTAGAAGATATCTTCATATTTTCTAAACAAATTTTTAAAAAAACAACAATATTTACTTATAGGTGAAAATGATGGAACGTGTTTTGTTACAAATACTGCAACGACAAAAGTAAAAAGTTTATCACTATAGATCTACGGTCTAAAGTAAAACTTCTTCAGCTAAATTTAGAGAACTAAGTTTGACTTTCTATCAAACATAGTCTAGTTCAGTGTTTATTAATACTGTGCCAGATTTTCATTCATCATTCGAAGAACGGTGGAGACAGAATGGTTGAAATTATGTGAAATTTCTCTCATTTTGCTGAAATATAGGCTCAAACTTTTATTCTTCCAAAGAGAGTTCCACAAAATGGACTGTCATATTGTTGCCGATTGTTTAACTTACTTTTTCTATCGATGTAGGGTATATGCGTTTGTCGACAAGGCTATGTTGGAGATTATTGTGAAAATCCTATTGTAAATTCATCATCAACAACTGTCATTCAGTCACGAGCCGGTTATTGTTCATCGAACCCATGTTTGAACGATGGATCATGTGTTGAAACTGGTTCAGCACAAGGTTATTGTCATTGTACTCCCGAATATCGTGGAGCGTATTGTGAACTATCCGTAAGAGCAGTCAGCTGTTTACCAAACCCTTGTAAAAATGGTGGAACATGCATTGTATTAGATAATAATCAAGGTATCTGTGAAAAAGTTTAATTTTTAACTGTTAATCATCTCTAATATATTGTGTACTATAGCTCATTGTCTTTGTACACCGGTATTTCGTGGCTTAACGTGTAATCAATTCAGTTACGTACCATGCGGAGAAGCTACATGTCACGGGACACAAGTAAATTCGTTTAACATAATTATAAAATCCATTTTCATCCATTAAGTAAATCTTCTGTTTACAGGGTGTGTGCGTTGCAAATTATTGCATCTGTAAAGCCGGTTATGCTGGTCCTCGATGTGATAGTACGGATTTTTGTACAGCATTTCCATGTCAAAACGGAGGTTTGAACTTAAAATGTGAGATAAATTCCATCATTCTCGAAACGATGGTTTTATGATTATTACAGGTACGTGTGTTCGAACGAATGAAGAACCATATGGCGGATGTAGTTGTCCAGCCGGCTTCTCCGGTCCCACATGTAGTAATGATCCATGCAATCCCAGTCCATGTTTAAACGGAGGGTATTGTGTACGAAAACCGGATAATCAATTTTATTGTCAATGTCGAAGTAAAAACAAGGGAGTCTATTGTGAACGTAAGTTGATTCTACATTAAAACAAAATATCTGATCAAACATGATAAATATTGACTATTTTATCTTTTAGAGGTAGAATGTTTTCCATCAGATGCTCTAGTCGAGTTGAAGAATGGTGATTATGTACAAATGCACAATGTGAAAATTAACTCATTAGTAAAAGTAATTAATAATGACAATCAATTATCTTATTCACCCATAGTTGCATTTCTTCACTATGATTCTCAAACAAGAGCGTTATACAAACAAATTCATACAGAATCAAATACGATCATTGAATTATCATCATTACATTTAATACGAAGAAAACAAAAAAATAATTTACTAATAGATGAATTTGTATGGGCAAAAAAAGTGGTACCCAATGATCAAATACTTGTCGTTAAACAGAATAATAATACAATTGTTTGGGAAAAAGTTATGTTTATAAAAGATGTATGGAAACAAGGTTTAATGGCACCGTTAACAGATCAAGGTACAATTGTTGTTAATAATGTTCACGCATCTTGTTATGCATTAGTCAAAAGTCATACAGTCGGGCATATTGCATTAACACCATATCGTTTATATAAAAGATTCATTCATTCTATTCCAAAAGATTCAACAACAACATCAATTTTATCTTATGCTGATATCTTATTTCATATTTTCAAAAATATTCCAGTTGTAAAAGACTTGATATTTTAAGAATTATGCACATTTTTTCTTAAAGATACAATTGTGAACTCTGAAATACATTTTTTCTATTTTCTAATTCTTCTTTCTTTTCAATTGTATATATATATATATGTTGTCTTATAAAGTCAATTAATAAATAAATACAAAAATACTATTTAATTAAAATACGTTATATATCATAAACAAGAATGAGTCTTGAAGAAATGATATAAATTATTCGTTAGAGCTAAATAGATATATTGTTTAGTCCATGCTCTCTCATTCTTCAAAATATTCATCAGACTAAATTTTTATCTTCGTACTTTTCGAACTAAAAGAAGTTTGATTACATTTTGTTTTTCTTTTAAAAATCAGATGTTTTAACTTTTATAGACTAGTATGGACGAACAGCGAACATTTTATTAGACTGCTATGTCCACATAATTTAAGTTAGAACTATAGAAGTAAGCATCAAGAACAAATACATTTGTTTAAAACGATAGTCTGTGACTGATGAACACAAAAACATAATGGGAAGACGAACAGTTTTTTCTCTCTTTTTATTCTATATATCTATTGTATTTACTTACTATTACATATCTATCACTTAAATTCTATGTTCAACAATGTACATATACATATAATGTATAAAAAAAACGAAAAAAAAAATTTCTATACAGACGCCATATATTTAAACTGATTGTTTGTTCTAACTGACAACTACATATACGATATTGTGTGAAATATTTCAGAATTTAACCAAGAATATTATTATTTAGAAATCGTATACTAATTATATCATAAAAAAAAAAGAATATTTTTACCTTGTTCAGTATTATCAACAATGTGGTTAAAATATTTGTTAATTCTAACTTTGGCCATTATCTTAGTACTCGCTACTCATGGTAGAGTAATTAGTGTAAGCATAGAAATTTTTTAGATTCTTTACGACAGTAGTATAACTTTTTTTCAAAAAAATTCGAAAAAGTACGATACTTCTGCAACTGTAATGTATAATTATTTCAACTATGAAGAATCTAAGATATTTCTCATTTTCATTTAGAAACGTGATCTTTTGAGCAGTTTGCTTGAGACCAGTTTATCTCGTGGTATATTTAATGACGAGTCATCGAATACGTCACCATCTGAAAGTTCAAAAATTCATCAGTTGTTAAAAAATCCATTTGTTATCAGTTCGTTGAGTAAGTAATGAAGAAATATCATTCACTTTCTTTCGTATTTCAGTTTTTCTTTCGTTTTTTATTTAAAAGGTGCAGCTGTTGGTATACTTGTTCAAAAAGCATTAACATCCCAAAATATGGACAAGAATAGTGTATGTGATAATAATTATGTAAAAATGGCAACAATGGTCATGAGTAATAATTCACACTTGAAACAATTGGTAGAAATGTTAGGATGCACAGATACTAGCAAGGAAAAACATAATAAAAAGCCGACAAAAACATCAAATGATGATGATGATGATGATGATGATGATGAATCAGAAACAATGGATCATACTGAACAATCTAGTAATAGTCACCATGAAGAATCCAATAAACTTCAAGAGGTTATGAATATTTTTAAGGATGAAAATGGTTCGGCACGAAAAGCTATTAAAAATCTTTTTGGTTTAAGCAACAACGATGAACATATCAAAACTGATACAAAATGATCACAAAGTAATTATGAGTTAGATACGTCAGATACAAATATTTTATATAAAATGAATTAGAACAACGTAAATAATGTTGTTATATATAATAGTCAATGTTTTTGTTAAAGACACAAGTCTTAATTAAAAATTGTTTATATACGTGTGTTAAATCTATATGTGAATAATTTTATTATAATAAATTAAATTAAAATTTAATAAATATCTGAATTGAATAGGATAACTGTTGTGTATAAATATATTTTATTTCTTCATGACAGTATGTCGTTGAATGGTTATGTTATTTTGAAATTCTTTAATATCACTGTTCTAATAGCATGAGATCATTATTATCTTAACCCTTTGGCTCCCGGTGACATATAAATACGTCTAGTTGTAATTATTGCATGATCATAATAGCTAGAATAAATTTGAAAAAAGATTTGAATAGCTGGAAGAATTTCCGATCTCAGGTGGTGTATACAAAGGGTCCATCAAAACTCCTGAAATCAGGGTCTCTGGAAAACTCAAATCTCAGAAAACCAAGTCCTAGAGTTCAATCCAGAAATTCTTTGCAAATAAGTCTATCGTGTAGAGCAAACATTTCTGAAGAAAATGAGACGTCTCCGAGCTGTTTATGACATTTTCTCATGGAGCAGCATCCAATTTACGGAAAGCCCCATAGCAGCAAAACTAACGGAAAAACAAGAAGATACCCCCTTAGGGCCTTTTGTAAATTGATTCTTGTTCCATGAGAAAATGTCGTAAAGAGCTCGGAGACGTCCACTTTCTTCAGAAATGTTTGCTCTGCACGATCAACTTATTTGCAAAGAATTTTTGGATTGAACTCTGGGACTTGGTTTTCTGAGATTTGAGTTTTCCAGCGACCCTGATTTCAGGAGTTTTGATAGAGCCTTTGTATATACCACCTGAGATCGGAAATTCTTCCAGCTATTCAAATCTTTTTTCAAATTTATTCTAGCTATTATGATCATGCAATAATTACAACTAGACGCATTTATATGTCGCCGGGAGCCAAAGGGTTAAAGAAGTCAAGATTGTGGAATGCACTACGAAAACTCCGCAAAAAGCAAGAAACTAGGCTAGAGAAAAAAGAGATTTCCGCTATTGCCAGAGATAATCGTCTTCCTCTCAAGATAGTTTTGCATTAAATGACATTTCATAATAACTTCTGTAGAGTAGAGAGAATTGTAACCTCTATAAGAAATATGTATCGTATCGTAGTACACTGTACACTCTAAAAAAAAAAGGTATTTTAAAAAACGTTCACAAATAAAACAACTTTTGTGAATAGAAAAGAAAAGTTAAAAAACATGAGTTACACAAAACAAGTAAAAACGCATCAACATCGGTACATCACGCTTGAAAATGTTTATAAGAACTCTTGATAAGTATCAGTTCATCTGAATTACTGCTAAAAAGAGAGAACAAAAAGTATTCCGAAGATTTCCTATTTACAAAGATTACAGTAGGAAAAAAAGTTTCAGGGAAAAGGTGACTAATACCCATAACATGAAAAAATGATGAAAGTTCTTTATCACCAACGTTAACACACGCAGACATGAGAAAATAAAAAGCAAATATGTAAAAGAAACTGAGATTATTAGTACACATTAGCATATGCCACATGATAAAGAGACATACAAGGAAAGAAAAGAGATTGGATCAATAGAGAAAAAGCAAACGCCACACAAAAAAAGCAGCTTGACAATCTCAGGTCTCAAAAAGTTTCCTTGTAGAAAAAGACAGCTTTCAGTCTCAAATAAGGACACGATTGATCAAAAGAACACA